AAGAAATGTAGCACAATACTGTGGAACATCTCCAGAAAACACTTTTGCTCCATGCTCTTAGTAATCCTATTACAGAAGAGAAAATTTTCCACAGGCCTGTGGTTCATGATAAAAATAATAATAACAAAAACTAGTTGACATTTATTGAGGCCTGGTATGTGCAGGGACTGCTCTGAGTGCTTTTCTCGGATTTTCCCATTTATTCCTCACAACAACCCTCTGAGTGGATCCAGCTCATGCCCCCATTTCAGATGAGGACAATAAGGTACACGGTGGTCAAGTAGCCTGCCCGAGGTGACACAGTTAGAGAGTAGCAGGCTCTGGATAACAGTTTACAAGCAGCCCACACGTGTCCCTCAAAAGTGTTTCTTATTTAAAATGGGCACCTTCCCTTTGGTGAATTCAGTCAGAGAGAATACGTGCTATGTTTCTGAGATAAAACAGACAAGAAAACATAGTTTCCACACTGCTAATGGCAGATCCTAATCTTGTCTAGTTACACAGCAACCACTCTTTATAAACAGATCAAGCTAAATTAGAAAACAGCAAAGAAATTGGCTTGAGTTGGCCCTGCCAGGGGCACACAGGGGCCGAGAAGGGATGGAAGAAGGTGGAGGTTTACTGCTCGTGATGCTCACCCTGCAGCCCCTGCGTTCGCTACTGATGTTGCTGAGTCAGATGTGCAGGAGGGCAGTGCTGAGGGAAGTGGGCCCGTGCCCGTCGGCGGCACAGCAGCAGGAAGGATGCCCAGCTCTCACGTGGGAGTAATGGCAGCTCACTGTCACCAAGTGCTCTCTGCATGCCGGGCACCGTCCCAGGGCCCTTTCATGTTTTAACACTTAGTCCTCATGGCACCCCCGGTTCACAGATGGGAAACCAGGCCCCAGGGGCGGGCAGTTTGCCGGCTCTCCTAGCCCGTGAACAGCGGCTCTGGGATTTGAACCCAGGCAGCCCTGGGAGCACCAGCAGCCCCAGTTATTGGCCCCACAGGCATCTGGATCAATATTGCTGTTACACAAAATAAAGAGAGTCAGGGAAATGTTGCTAAACAAGGCATAATTGCCTGGGGAAAAATTGCAAGTAAGCCTGGAAAATGGGCCATAATGCCAAAAATAAATACAAAGCTGCAAACTGACAAAGCAGCACCGGGGGCTCACAATCTTCCACGCTCCCCGCTCCTGAGAAGGTCTGAGCTGGCAGCTCCCACGGCCATCTCTGCAAGGTGGTCACCAGCCAGACTCACAGGTGCTCCTCTCCTGGACTTTCCCCCTTGCCGGCCCCAATCACACCTTTGGTCCTTGTGCCCTGGTCTGTTTCCTCGAGGGACCGGGGCTCCATCTGTCCCTCTCTTATCTCTGGATCTCCTCCGCCACCCAGGGCCTGGCCCAAAGTAGAGATTCCTTCATGTTTGAACAAACAAAAGATAAATCGCACTAACACGCAGAGCCCTGGGGAGATTCCAGAACCATGCCAACGGATTCTGTCTCAGAGTGTTGGGAGGAGTTGATTTCTTTAAATCAGAGGTCAGACGCCCTGAGCTGGGTGCTGGGGATAGTGATGGGTCCCTGCCCCTCCCGCAGCCTGGACACGATTAAATAATGGCACTGAGACCATGGCAGTAAGTACTGGAGATTCCAGAAGATGGGGTAGGCCAGGGCCCAGCAGGAGGGAGGACAGCAGTAGAGGGAGGTGAGGGAGGTGGCAGAGACCCTGTGGAAGGATTCCTTGACCTGGCCCGGGACAGTCAGGAAAGCACAAGTCCTACAGGGTTTAATTCTGCAGTCCCCGTGGGAGCTGCCATGGCACCGAAAGCTGCTTGCTCTTAGGGTCACTGTGCGAGAGGTGTTGTCTTTAGGTCTCTCAGAGGCCCCGCGACTAAAAAGCAGCTTCAAATGCGTCTTAGTAGAGAAATAACCAGGCCCGTAGCCCCAGGAGAAGGCCTGCCCCTCCCACCCAAGTTAGAGACCCTCTGTGGGCCCAGAAGCACTTCTGGGGTGGGAGCTAAGATGTGAGGGCAACTCTCTGACCCTGTGGTCCGTGTGTCACCTGCTCGCTCACCAGGACCACTCCCTTTTTGTTTTGCAGGGGACGAACTGACCAAGATAGAGGATGAGGATGAACAGGGCTGGTGCAAGGGACGCTTGGACAACGGACACGTTGGCCTGTACCCAGCGAATTACGTTGAGGCAATCCAGTGACGTGCTGGTGGGCTGGCTGGCGGAGGGATGGAGGTGGTGTTCCCAGGAGCTCCGTTAGCCATCGGCCCCGGGCAGTGGTACCTCCGGTGTCTCCAGCCGATCTGTAGGCGTCCACTCCTTTTCTTGCAAAAGATAATGGTTCCGTTGCTCTTGGCTTCATGGTGTCTCTTGAAGACAGACGAGCCGGTCATTTCACCTGGGACTCGGCACCCTTTCCACAGCGCAGATAGAGGGACCTGAGCACAGGAAGATGCAGTACGGCAGAGATCGCTGGGCCCTGCCCCTCCCCGCTCGCTGTGCGTGTCGGCTTACCATGGATCTGTCTGTCTGTTCTTGCCCTTGTCTTTCCGCCTTTCCTCTGAGTCAATGGTGCGTTACATTGATTCTTGTTCCACTGATTACTTTCTCTGACCAGTCCCATCACCCACAACTTAATGAACAAACTTCCATGCCATTTTCTGAGTGAAGATTTTGAGGTTTTTAATTTAAAGGCTGTGTACAGTTATAGTTTTTTATATACCTGTTTGTCCATTCATTTCCACTTAAATTATGGCACAGATTGATGTACACTAGTCCTGAGGAAATGGTATCTCTGTTTCCACATTGTATTGTTAGTCAACCAAGCCACTGCCTGGGGCAGCCGCGAGAGCTGGCGCTCCTTCAGACAGAGGAGGTGTGAGGCAGGAGACTGCAGTAGAAAGATGGGAACACATTATGGCCAGATTTCTATTGTGAATGCTCTTTACACATTTGGGGCATCCGAATGTGAGTTTTGGAAATAACCTTATGTAGTACTCCCGAAAAGTCACCATATTTAAAAACTATTTTTACTCTGTTCGTGCTTAAAATTTTACTCTTGCAAATTAACAGTTTTATCAGTGATTTGGAAGGTTAAAAAGTAAGAATAACTTTTCAAGCAAATGCATCTGTAGATTAAGATGCTTTATATTAGACTGTCATGCCTTGATGTATATCTGTAAATATTATTTGATATTCAGAGAATCTAAAGAGCTCATCTACTGTTTTAATGAGATTTAACGGCTTTTGACAGTGGGTTTAATTTGTAAACTGCTTGAAGACCGTGGCATTCGAGCACAGTCCTGCTGCTTGGCCGGGCCTCCTCCAGCCCTGGGCCTCCTCCAGCCCTGGGCCTCTCTGGAGAGGAGCCTGCTGTAGAAGTCGGTCCTCACGGGCCAGCTGTAGGTCTGGCTCCTCACCAGCCTCAGCGTAGCAGACGCTGCAACACCCCGTCTCTCCAGTGGTTGCACACTTCACAGCCATCCACATCCTCGTGGGCAGACAGACGCTGGGTCTCCCCCACAGCACAAGGGTCTCTCCTGAGCGTCCCTAGTCATCAGTGAGCCGCCGTGCTGGGGCAGGGAGCTACACTGTCATTGTGGGGCGGAGGAGGGAGGGAGGGAGGGAAACCTTTATTTTGTGTAACTCAGACACTGGTGAAATGGCCTCTGCCATCATAAGCTATGCATTACTGTGTTTCCAGTGAGCTCAGTCTTGCTTGGAAAGTGGATGTGTGTCCATGTTTGTCATGAAAACTTACCAGCAGAAATCCTCATTCCTTTGCTACAGATTTACCAAAAATTGTCAAGTCTTTTCAGTTTAGAAGTTTCTTTAAATGTATAATATTTTAGAAAAAAATCAATAAATAGTTGATCTCATGAGTATGACAGTCTCATGTGCCTCACGCTCATGTCAGCTGGTGGACGTGTCCTCGTCGGCGATTACTAGCTTTGGAGCTGGGCGAGATCTGGGCACAAGACCTGCCCCTGCCATGCCAGAGGTTGGGGATCTGAGGCACTGGAGCCCCTTGGGGTTCCCGTCTCCCTGAAACTTGCCACTGTGTGGCCTGGGCTTCCCCAATGTGGGCCGCAGGCTGGCGCCTCCCTCCCTCCTTCCCTCCCTCCCTGAGGCCCAAACAGCAGCACCAGACCTGACCATTCATTGCCTGGCTTCTCGGAACACATTTCCTGAGTGCCTGCTGTGCAAAGAACATGCCCATCTCCAGACATCCCCATGGGTGGGGTGAGTCTCCCCCTTTCCACTTTACAGTGGGGGAAACAGAGCCTCCAAGAGCCATGCGTAACTTGAGGAGTGAAATCCCCACGGAACCCTCCAGCCTCATTGGGGTGAGAAAGGAGGCCGGGGTGAAGGGCTTCGTGGCCACACTCGGCAAACCCCAGTAAGGCTGCCCAGAAGAGCGCCCCCTCTGGGTACCGGGCCCTCACCGGGGAGCCAGGAGGAGGAAGGTGGGTGGGCAGCTGCCACTGCAGCGTCACTTTGCCTGGCTCATGAAGGGCCGAGGACAAATCTGTTGTTCAGCCACTCTGTCTAATAGGTGATGGGGCCCCTGCTCCCCGCTTCTGAGGGAGGAGTTGGAGCTCATCAGAGCTGCTTGCTGCCTAGGGCGGACACCAGCTTCTGCCTCACCAGCCCCAGGCTGCCACAGAGAGACGAGGTAGGATGGGGGAAGGGAGGGGTCAGAGCAGGCTCCCATGGCTGCTCTATGGCTCCCTGCTGGGCCGGCTGGTCCTGGACACTGGTGAGCTCATGTACTGTCAGGACAGCCTGTTGGGGAGGCTGGAGTCACTGCCCTTTGCAGAAGAGGACACAGAAGGTCTGGAAACTCAAGTTCAGCGACTTGCCCAAGATCCCATGACAGAACTGTGATTCAAACCTGCGTCTGCAGGATTCTTGAGGGCAAGCCCTTCCTTGCTCCCTCCACTACGGATAGAGAGCAAGGGGGATGAGCAGGAGGAACCCTCAAAAGTCTGGATGAAACCACCTCTGCAGGGCAAGGCCGTTTTCTCAGCCTCCTGTCATCCTCAGGTCCTGCAAGGAGACCTGAAGGGCCCTCACTGCCCACCTGCCCTCTCCTGTCCTGGCCCTTGACAGGGCCAAGCTTGGGAATCATAACTGACCCCTCTGGGCCTCAGTTTCCCCAGGCAAGAGTGGTGCCTGCTTTCCTGGTTGGAGGATTAGAGTAAGGCGTGAAAGGCTACAGACTCAGGAGGTGGTAACCTACTGTGGCGGAATGACACCCCATCCTCCCAGTCCCCAGCCAGGACCCTCCGGCAAACTTGGCTGTCCCTCCCACACCTTTCTCTCTGGGCCATCAAATCCCCTTTGCCCCTCTGTCCTCCCCCGCCCCCCCATAGCCACTGCCTGGGGCCAAGCTGCCCCCTCTCCCCCTGGATCACTGCTGTACCCACACCACCCTAGGGGTCCCAGTCCCCCCCTCTCCTCGGTAGGGGGCTGGGAGGGGGGTATTTCATCCTCCCTCTCTGAGCCCTCCCCCCCCCCC